AAAGCAAAATGGCGGACTTTGCAACATCAGTACAAAAAATATCACCGATATGGTGGAAAAACCGCCCCCATCCCCCCAAAAAATACTATTAAAAAATTTTAAAACGAGTAAAAATTAAAAAAAACCCCGCCCGCCCGCCTCTGAAAATTTGTGAGAGTGTGATGCAAACCAAGTTTTTTTTTATTTGGCCTAACGGTCAAGGTGACCCCGGCCAACTCAATTTTAGGTCGGACATACCGAATTTCTGGTCGGTCAAATTGTTCAGCTTAAAGCATAGCCTTGTAAAGTATACCCCTAGAAATGTGACTATTTTCCCTGTATAGCATTACAAAAAGCCTTACTGCATGTAATCAGTAATTAAAAACTCCTTCACATAAAACAGCTTGCACTGTGCTAAAAGGCCTTAACTCTTAAGCCAAATGCATGGCCATGCGCTTTGTGATGTACTGTGTGGGAAAGCTGGCATACATTGAAGTTCTTTTCCCACAAAATATTCGACAACATGTTATGGTTCTTAATTATAATAATTGACAACTTTATTTTGATTATTAATTAAAATGAAGATTAGTTTGTTCTTTCACTGAAAGTGACCGGTCAAAATGACCGACAAGGTAAGAATTTGACCGGACAACTCATCTGCATTCTGGCCGGACATTGTCCGTTGACCCGCCGTTATCTCGCGCCCTGTATATATTGATGATAGTTTGTAAGATTGATAGAAAATTGATAGAAATTCCTAATTGGAAAGTTTGGAAGTTGTGCAGCCGAGGTTTCAAGAACTTATTATTAAATATATAGAAGTTCCTGAATAGCCTGATATCTCTGTCAGTCTGTTGCATAATACAAACTTTCAACACTGGTAGAAATTATTACAAATTTATATGTTAATAGACCTTTCCCCTTATAACCAAAATTTTGATCTAGGCAAGTCTAGATAAATATTTCATCACAGCTTGAAAGAGCATCACAAAATTAGTAATATTCCAAAGTTTCGTTGCGAAATGTTGTAAAATGAGGAAAATAGAGCCTTGCGAAGTTTGCAATTTTCAGTCATTTTGCATTGCAAACGGGAAATTGCAGCCCCAACACCCGAATCGTATGTCAATTTCCCGTTTGTAATACAAAATGACTGAAAAACGGCAAACTTCGCAAGGCTATATTATCCGCATTTTACAAGATTTTGCAACAAAACTTTGGAATATTACTAATTTTGTGATGCTCTTTGAAGCTGTGATGAAATTTTTGTCTAGATCGAAATTTTAGTTATAAGGGGAAAGGTCCATTGCCTTCAGTGGTGTCTGTCACCTAGCAACTGCAACTCTGCAAGAGCTCGTTCCCGGGCAATATATTGATTTACACACGACTTGTGTTTCAGTCCTGCCATTTTCGGACTTACTAGTACATTTCACGGTAAATTCAAACAAGAAATCTTGGTTTCTGATTGGATTATTAGGTCTACACATGCTCAAACTGACTGTTTACAAATGCAAAGTCCTGCTCTCTTGAAATACTGTATGGCAGGACTTGGCCTTGTATTGTCTTTTCTTGCGAGCTTTCCGTGTGACTAAACCCACTTTTTACTATTCTGTCGAGATTACAGTCAAGTTATGAATTCATGGAAATCAACCAGTGTGGAAGCCCATTGTGATTTGGATATAATTACTGGCTTCTGCTATGTATTTTAACTCACAAAATGCATGTGAACAGACTCGATTGTGTATTTTTGTAATACAATATTATGGGGAATACAAACATAATTTGTGAAGCCTTTTTGTATTGATGTATGAACGTATTATTTACTGCCAGTTCATCTGCTTTATGAATTGAAACACAAGCGCATATGGAGTTTAAAAAATGATATACCAATTTAGATTTACAAAGTTATGTACTAGATATTTGGCCGCATTTTAATACACTATATTAAACGCTATGGTAATTTTAATACCATTGGCATAGCATACTGAATTACATCCAGAGTGCCAAGCGTAGTGGTCCGTAGTTGATAGCACTCCGAACTTTATAGTACGACCATATAGGCATAGCGTAGTGAATTGCATCCAGAGTGCCAAGCGTAGTGGTCCGTAGTTCTGTTGATACCACTCCATTATAGTTTAACACATTACTAACAAAAGTACTAAATTTTTAATGAATGCTATAGCTGTAGCGTTATAATGTAAACGCCGTACACTACTATTCAACAGTACACTACAACAATTGTTGAGTTATGCAATTGTTGACCAAGTGAAAGATCATATTACAGAAGTGTATTAAATTGTATACAACCATGCACCAAAATGCCACCCATACCTTGACATTTTATTCTCAACAAAAACCTGTTTGACTGTTCATTGCACGAAAGTCAACCAAATAAATTTACTCGCTGTCTCATTTTTACAAGAAGCAAAAGCTTTTCCTCTGGAAAATGTTGAATTTTAGAAGTCTGGAATGGCAATTTCCTGCGATTTCACAGCGAAATACTCCAAAGGGAACAACAATAAATTGTGTGATTAGCGGAAAATTTTTTATACTTTTTTGGACAATTTTTTTGTAAGTTTTTGAAATCGTATTTCCATGCATTTTATCATATTTCACTATATATTTTTCAACTTAACTGAAAATTTAGCTAAATACTGTATAGTCAAGTCACTAAAGAGGAAAATATCTGGTTAGTCACTATAAAACCGTATTAAAATGATCTCATTAATAAGTTTGACGGCTACAGGCTAGCGTCGGTAACTTTGTCATGTAAGCTTGGCTGGGTAGGTGTAGTAGTCGTTAAAATACATGCAGTATATCATTATTATCTTAGAAACGCTTTCCATTTTGACTGTTAAGGAAATAGGGTTATATTGCAAACTCATGTTTGAGATACAGTACATTGTTTTAAATTTTATTATTCGAGAGTAAGACACCAAATAAGACATCGAAAAAGCTTGAATTGACACAATATCAGTCAAAAGGCTGATGATATCACTTGCATTCGTTAAAAAAAATATAACATAAATCTTAAAAAAATTAGTTTCGACTGACCCAGATTTATGTATTTCGCGCCTACACGTGCGAGATGTCTGACTTGTCATGCTTGGTATCGACTGTATTCGATGTAAACTTGGTCTGTGTCACGTGTCTGTCCTTGTCATAGGAGTTAATTGTCCTGCTGTATAAACTTGTTATTAGTATTCTTTGCTTGCACAAGTTTTGTCCAGCCGTTTACATCGAAATAGTTGAGTTACTTTAATATTTTTGGTTTGTTTTGAAAACATCTTACTGTATTATGGATAGTTTACGATTTCTGGCACAATACGACAAAGAATGAAGAATATAGATTTTTAGTTGCCACGAAAATCAACCAAGATGGCGTCGATTGCAAACGAGCAATTTATTTAGTGTTTACTAAATATATTTGCATGTATTTTGTTGGAAAGCTGCCTTGCATGGATAGCGCAAATTATTTACGTTCCGTTCGCACCAAATCATATATGTAACATTTTTAACATGCGAAGTAACGCCTGAAAAATAAGGCCACTGTATTTATGTATGTCTATTTCTTTTGAAAAGGTTGCTAAAATGCATACCTGCATGTGCTGCGGCGCCAAAAATACAATCAATGAATGTCTGATTGTGAACGCTTATAGACGAAACACGGAGACGATACAGTATATAACAAACCAGAGACGTTAGACGCGGAGATGATAGACGCGGAGACAATAGACAATAGACGAAAATAGACGTTAAGATAGACGTGAGCGGTACTGTACTTTTGAAAACGTAGTCATTCAGAGATATCAGGTATATTTGAATATGAAAAGTGACAAAGAGATCAGTAATACAGCTTGAGCCAAAAATATTCATAGCTCTTGGTAACATACTGGACTCTGTATAGCTCAGTGATCGGAATTTACAAAGAGGGGCAGATCTACCGGTATGGTACGAGGGAGTGCCCCCCCCCCCCCAGTGGGATCCATCACCCCTTGAAGAAAACTCTGGTATTCGAATTAACGTATTAACGAATAAACATACATAGTGCTCAGAATGCAGGAAATAGCATTTCAGGGCTTCAAATGTCAACATTTTCTGGGGGAGAATGCCCCCAGACACCCGTAGTAATGCACCCTCTCTGGAAAACCTCTACCCCTTCTAACAAATCAGGCTAGATCTGCCCCTGTAATCGCAAGGCCACATATTATATATATATATATATATATATATATATATATATATATATATATATATATATATATATATATATATATATATATATATATATATATATATATATATATATATATATATAACTCGTAAGGCGAACTTTTTGAAAATTATTTTGCAACCCAATTAATATAATGACATACATTTTGTAAAGTACTAACTTAGGAGTGGCTTTCCATTTTGAAAGCAACTAGCTTCCACTTACGATATTTCTTTAGTATAGAGAACAATTTGCATATTTTTGCCACAACTTCGCGAAGTCTTTCTTTCAAATTCTTGAACGTTGTTGGTAAAGCGTGTACTGCAGCTACATTATCTATTATCTAAACGTTTTATCACTTTTATGTAATATATGAACAACGAGAGCTAGTGTTTCACCGGGATATCCAAACACGAGAAAACAATGTATGAAAACACGAGCGCGAAGCGCGAGTGTTTTCATACATTGTTTTCGAGTGTTTGGATATCCCGGTGAGACACGAACTCGAGTTGTTTATATGGCTTCTCAAATGAATCGAGACGTAACAGAATGTGACCAGTGACTCTCATCAAATATTTTAATTACGTATGCAGCTAAACTCTTGTGGTGCTGTGTCTGACGGTGTTTGACCGCGGTATCCAAACAGCATCTTGTGACGGAATGCTTACATGCTATTGGTTTAATTACTCATGAATTATTAATGAATTTGAGAAATAATTATCAGTTTACAATAATTGATTATTACCTGTTCTGAAAGTGCTTTAATTTACTGGTATAACTATTAACTGTATATTAATTTCTGTCATCAATATAGCCCAGAAAAGAAGAAAAGGCCAGCTAATGGTAAGATAATTTTTGTGCTTTTAATGATATTTCAGCTTTGATACAGTATTAGGTTAATTTATTGGGTATTGCGCTCCATTGCACAAAACAGCAGCTAAATAATTTTCCCAACAGCCTGTTTACAAGCACAGAGATATGGTTATAAGTCATAGAGATACAGTATGCTACTTTATGTATGTATAAGCATGGAGATATATTTCCAACAGAAGTTTTATGCCCTAGACGTTTTATGCCCAACGTGCAGATGTACATGCACCAACCGAAACAGCAGGTAACATTAACCCAGGATTGACATTAGTCCAGCTGTGAATGAATGGCCCAGGTAAATTCCTTTCAACAGAGAGTACAGGAATTAAGCTGTGGAAAAACTTTGTTAAATGGCCTATATAGTCATACACTTTAACACATCTGCCATTTGTATAAAATAATCAATTCAATTAAGCAACTTATTAACAATCGTCAAGTAGCCGCATAGAGGTGATACGCAACAGTGGCAACTACTTTTAAGTAGTTTTAAGTAGTTTTAAGTCTTAAAAGACGCAAAGTGCAATCAGAAATAAAACAATTAATTAAAGGAAGGAAATGTTTTACAAGGATAAGGTTCATCAGCTTTATAAGAAACTTTATACTCATTCATAACCTTTCAAAGCATGTGGCCCTGAAAATATTACACTGTGTATATTAAAGGAATTTGCTCACGAGTTTGCGGAACCCATTGCAACCATTTTTATCACATCTCTGACCTCTGGAACATTTCCCACCGCATTGTGCATTAATTTCCCAATTCCAAAAGTGTCAAAACCGACTTGTGAAGGAGATACTCGACCAATCTCTCTCACTCCTTGTCTATGCAAAGTCTTGGAGGCCTTTGTTGTACGATGGATGATGGAAGACGTCGTGAATAATATTGACGTACAGCAATTTGGTTGTTTAAGAGGATCATTAATAGCATATTGCCTTCTCGGTATGATGCATACAGTATTTGGCTATTTCTGCACAGTGTGTAAGGCTTGCATGGTAGCGCTACCTCGGACTGGCTAGCGGTTACAGCTGGTGTACCGCAAGGAACAATCTTATTTTTTATAATGATCAACAATCTAAATATTTCATCCCCAGAGCTATAGAATACTCACTGGTACTTGGAAATTCATGGACGATGTCTCCATTTCTGACTACCTGTCAAGGAACAGTGAATCCCATGTCACTTTGGTGACGTGAATATATGGGCTGACAACAACTTGATGAAGCTAAATCCAAAGAAGTGTAAAGAGATGCACGTCTGTTTTCTTAAAGAGCGACCCACTCCATCCCCTGGAAATTGTTTCCCATCATAATTAGGTTCTTGGCGTGCTCATACAGAATATTCTTAAGTGGACATATTGCTATATATGATTGTTAAAAAGACCTCCAAGCGTTTCCATATCCTTAGAGTTCTTAAACGGTGTGGAATTCCGCCTCATGAACTAATCCTTATTTACTATGCCCTCATTCGCTCCGTTTTGGAGTATTGCTGTATTGTGTGGCATAATAGTCTACCAGTTTATCTGGCTGACTCACTTGAAAGAGTCCAAAAAAGAGCACTGATCAGAATATAATCCTCCCTGACAGGTCTTACCCAGAAGCTTTGAGTGAGCTTCATTGTCCTCGTCTAGATGAGAGACGCGATGCTTTGTGCGAAATAACGATTAAAATGATAACTGATGGTATAACCGGCTACTGTATCTCATCTTTTACCTCAGACCAGAGTAGAGAAATTGTGAACTATAATTTACGTAATTCTAACAACTGGTTGTCATTCAAATGTAGAACTGATTGCTTTTAAACTATGACAATATGTACCTTTCTTACTTTACATCTAAATTTTAAATTGTATATAGCATTAGTTTTATTGTAACTTTATAACTTAGGTGATTATTGTAAGCACATTGCCATTGTAATTCAATTCTTCTTCTGATGAGCCATTAAAACGCATAATACTGTATATGTACATGTGGTGTGTTTTAATCTCATTTGCAATGAACTGAAATCATTTCTACTGGATTGATATATTGCATTGCATCTTGACTATAATAATGTAAGTGTGGCATCTACTTCATTATATTTTACTTGGGATTAGGAAACGACAAGGAAGCAAAGCAATTAAAGTCAAGCCAGCAAGAGAGCGAGCGCAAAAAGGTACTGCCTATAAACTTGTACATTATAATTGTTTTTATTATATAATGGTGTTTTTTCTTCGTTTTTACTTTGAATGAATGTCAATTTGGTATTTTCTGAAAATCTAGTTACCTTTTTTCTATCTAGAAGCAGCAGTGGGTGTCGTCATCTTTTGATGATTTCGACGTTTCAACTTCTCAAGTACTTGCCACAAACAAGAATCCAAAGCCACAACAGCCACACTTGAAAAGTATGCGAGAATGAATTTTCTGTTACATGTAGTTGACCATTGTGTAATTCTAAACCTATGATTTGTTTTGAGCCTTCAAATTTGTCAACAATCAATTGTCAACAAACAATTTGTCAACAAACAATTTGTCAATGTTTGTGAATTGAATTACTCTTTCCTAACAAACAGGGGCACAACACTGGGGTGGAGTGGGTTGGGGTGAAGTGGCGTGTGGTGCGAAGGGAGTCTACGACCTGAATATGTGACATCAGTAGCGTTTGACTTATTGAAAGCGTGTGTACTAACTTCATGTTACATTTCATGTTTTTAGAGAAATCAAGTAAAACTGACAAACCAAGAGTTCCAATAAATAGCAATGATTTATGGTGTGACAAATATTCTCCTTCATCCGAGGTACATTATTTGATTTCAAATCATTACAAGAAGCAGCGTTTTAAACAAACTTCAGTTCACATGCAAGATTAGTCATAATATATAGTTTCTGTCAAGCTCAGAAGTTTTTATTATTATGGATCATATATGTACATTATGTCATTAGATTATTATGGATCATATATGTACATTATGTCATTAGACAGGTTCAGAATATTAACTACCGCTACCGTTACCGTTACCGTGCACTACCGAAATTAACCGATGCATTTAATCTACCCGATTAACCAATCAAATGCGTATTAAGCCTGTGAGAGGTAGTGGCAGTGGAAGTCAAATCTGAACATCCCTATATTATCATATTCCGATAAGGAAACTTTGATTCTGTTATTTGAATATTGATTTCGTTTCTACCGGAAAATCTCCATCTTGCCATCAATTTCTAGAAAAGTAACTGTCAACCAATAACGTGCATGCGCTTTAACAAGTATATCTATATGTACACTACGTCATCGTTGTCATTAGAGACCTTAAGATTGACGTTTATGGCAGAGCGCGAACGGCAAACTTCAAGTCGTATCTTGAGGTCAACTGTTATCTCTTGGAAGTTAGGTTAATTTGTACACTAGAATTGAAACATGAATTAGCTAAAAACTTGTCGAAACCTTCGAAAACTTGTAGAACTTACCTTCATATCAGGGTGTTATAAGCTTGGGCAGTTTTCCGGTTTTGTACGGGTTTTTTTATTAAACCGGTTTTTTTTCAATAACCGGAAAACCGGTTTATACTACATATCAAAAAGCGCAATATATAATTGTTAAGCAATGCTGACATATGTGACTGTTTTCACGCGCGCGGTGTCAAATTCATTTGCAGACGCAGCCTAAAGCCGTAAAGGCAATAACTGAGTCTTTACTTCGCCAATTATCAGCGCAAACATGGCTACACAAAATGTTAGCGCTGCCGATTTACGCTCAAAAAAGTCGTTTACATCCCCAGTTTGGCAATACTTCGGGTTTAAAATTTCGTTCAACGGCATCTCCGCGATCATCATCCTGCGAAGGCACAAGAGCTCGGGAAACAAGGTTGATAAAATTACAATTATCGAACCTTACCGCTGAAGACTCGTGTAATTCGTGCAATTGTTGAGAGTTTATATTATGTTTTCATTTGTACCTATTTCCCAGCGCGCACACAACATGAAATTGACGTTGTTTCAAGGTTGAACAGGCATCGAAATGACGTTTTCAAACCATTTAACGTCGATTTCACGTTGTTTACCCGCTAGGATAGCGGTTATTGCGAGTTATTCAATATTGGAATCGCGTTAATTTGTTGGGTTAAAAAACCCGGTTTTTCGGTTTAACCGGTTTTATAGCGTACGGTTTACCGGTTTTAACTTTAACCAAAACCGCCCAAGCTTAGGGTGTTAGCTAGCCCATACTGTATACTGTCCGTTTGACGGACTCTTCCCAATTGAAGTAGCTAAGGGGCTTTCCCAACTGGGTCTACTGGAAGATTTTCATTTTTTCTGATGAGAAAGTACTTGCATTGCTTTTGATTTTATATTATTATATCAAAGAACGTTTTATTTACTTTTTCCCATTTACTATTTCCTCAAAATATATCGCGTTTCATTCATATTGGATGTGTATTCACTGAAATGAAATGTACAAAACAAAGTGTAATCGATGTGCATCTGTGTTCATTCACCGGAAATGAAATATACAAAACGAAGTGCTATCGCGTGCATTTTTCATGGTTCATTCACCGGAAATGAAATATACAAAACCAAGCTACCGTTGTTTGCATCTAAGGAGAAACACGTTGGAAAAAAAACACTATTTATTCCTACACAAGGACTTTGATCGGTCAAAAAAACTTTCCCAATTTACGTTTAACGGACAAAACTTTTTTTCTGGCTAACACCCTGCATATGCGATTTGAAGTTTCACGTTTGCGGTTAGCAGTTTGCCTTAAACGTCAATCTTCACCGCTCTATAATGGAGTTAAATGTACAGCTGCGTAACTTCCAAAACTGTGAAACTTCCAGTGAATTTTACATAACTGTTATCACACCAAATTAAATTAATGACAAACATAATTCGGTATTTCCATCAGATGATAAATACAGTAATACGGCATAACAACGTTATGAAGCCATATACCCAATTTCTTATATTCGTTTAGCGTCAATTTCTTTTTTATTTTGATAATTATCTTGGGTTATGTAAATTTTGTTAAAACTCTTGTGTTCTCATTGTTTTCCCATTTTCTTCAGGCGGATCTTGCTGTACATAAGAAGAAAGTTGCAGAGGTCCGTGATTGGCTACTTTCCCACCTTTGTTTACAGGTACATTTTTGGCTGTTGGTGAGATGGCATTTTTTACTGAAGTCCGAAGTGTACCCGCCGTACCGTATTCCGTATGGGCGAGTCTCCATTAACTCTAACTTCTCGTTTGTGAAATAATATTGCAAAACTTTCAATCCGGCCTACTTGATGATTAAATGGACTAGTCTTATACGTTTCTTGCAACTTGTGTCGTTTTCTTTCAGGGACATGCTGTCTAGGGACGAGCCGACGAGAACTTGTTGTGGGTCCCTGCCATCATGGGCCCCTAAAATTAAAACATTGGAAAATAGATTAGTTTTGAAAATCAAGATTAAGATCATATTACAATGTATATTTTAATAATGTAAATTTACGAAAATATTACCGAAAAATGTAACAGAATCCGGTACATTAATTCGAAAGTTAATCAGGGTATGTTCGGATTGTTTTTTTGCCCCCCGACTGATTTGTTTCATGTTTTCTCAGTAATCCCCCCACGCCAATCTTGATCCATCCGTCGCTGGACCTGGACCCATCAGACGTTCATTCGTCGTCCTTTTCAAGACGCCAGCCATCCTCGTTCCCAGGGCTTCTCGGCTGCCTGCGTTGCCGGCAACGCAGGCAGCCGAGAAGCCCTGGGAACGAGGATGGACGCCAGCACGTCCCTGTTTTCTAGCTTTTTGTATACTTTTATTGGAAAGTACTGTAAATCATTTAATTAACACGTGTTGAGTGGGACCAAGGCAAACAGTATGTTTTGTTGACCGAAGACTGCCAATTTTTCCGGAGGGAAACGTTGTCAGTCGAGCATCCACAAAACATACTGTTTCCTGAAAGTCCTAGTCATTAAGTATAAAAATGAAAAAGAAACGAGAAGGAACCACAACTTTTGCTTCACAACTAAGCGATTTTATTATTCACCCGTGAATGATATTATTGTCTGCCACTCAGAACAGTTACCCTCAGGAGACAGTTGAATTTCACGACCGTCACACGAGTCTCGTCCAATGATATGCAAGAATACAGTCATGAACTATGTGTATAATAAATGTAGTTTTCTTAACCTTGCATGATGACAACGCTTCATCAATTTGTTTATATTGTTATTAGCTGGCCTTTATATGAAATTTAATGTGAAAATGTAGTTTGTGTAATTATAATGTTGTTTTTTTCTCCAATAGAGTGGAAATGGGGTGTTGTTACTAACTGGCCCGCCAGGTAGTGGTAAAACAGCAACATTACGAGCTTTGGCAAAGGAAATTGGCGTGGAGATACAAGAATGGGTTAATCCATTAGTACAGAATAAAGAAGATGGTATGTTGTATACTATATTTGCAGTTCCATGCATAGCTACTGTACGTTAATTTTTGTAGGTAGCTAATAATATTATCCCGTTAGCACCCCCTCTGATACACATTATAAATGCCTGTATAGATTCTAATTCATTTCCCTCTGCCTGGAAGCTATCAAGAATATCGCTTATTCCCAAAACCGAAGCACCTAGGAACTACGTTGATTTCAGATCAATCGCAATCTTACCCGTCTTGTCTAAGATATACGAAAGACTGGCTCTCAAGCAGCAACTGCCCTTTATCGACAATTGCCTAAACGACAACCTGTATGGTTTTAGAAAGGGTCACTCTATGATATACCGATAATGGATCACTCTAGGGTCACTCTACCGCTACGATCTTAATGGCTATGAGAGCCGATATTATGCGTGCCATGAAAAAGGAGAACTCACCCTCATGTTACTGGTTGACTTCTCCAAAGCATTCGACATCATAAACGTCAAGAATGTTCTACATTAGGAAAACTACATCTACTAATAAAACTTCTCTCATGACTACTTATATTGGCTAACAAGCTACTTAACAAACCGCCATCAGTATGTCCAAATTGACGACAGAAAATCAAAATCAGCTCCTGTGTGCTTCGGAGTACCTCAAGGATCTCAAGGGTCAATACTCGTCCCCTTTATTTTTAATCTAATATATGTATCTGATATTGATGTTCCTCAAACTTGTCACCAATACGCATGACGACACTTCGTTATACGAACATTGTAAAACCTGAAATCTTGACGAGTCCATCACCAATATGCAACGAACATTAGAATCTTTAAATAATTGGTCTACCAATTCCAACCTTTTGCTAAATCCTAAGAAAACTAAATCCATTTTATTCTTTATATCGCAAATGTCACGACATCACTCACTTTACAAAGTACAACTCGATTTCGTGCAGCTGTGCTAGCCTAACAATGAAATTGAGCGTGCAACTACTACCAAAATATTAGGTGTCATCTTTTCTGAACACCTAAATTGGAACGAATTTCTGAACACCTAAATTGCGTTACAAGAGGGCTGGCGGCGGGATGGTTTATATTATCACTCAGAAGGTGGGAAGAATGCCTCAGGGCTTCAAATGCGTTGACAGCAATAAATTCTATCCTTGCCATCCTCTTGTCCATATCACTCTATCTTATCCATTTTGTCCCTCAGGTGTTCTTTGTCGTTCTGCTGGATGTCTCCATGTTACTTAATTGACGGATTCGTCCTCTCTTCTCATATTGTGCACAAACCATCGCATTCTAGGTTATCTTCTCCGATAATGCAACCTTCCAAGCTTTCACCTTCTGTTCTATCCAGCCGCTGTTCTTCTCTTTCGTAAAAACAATGCCTTTATGTAAAGATTTGATGTTATAATAATATTTTTCGATGCCATCGTAGTGTAAAAAAAATAAATATAAAGAAAACGTTATCTTGTAGTATTGAAGTTGGTGTTAACATTTCCTCGATTGAACTTGTAATCTCGTATATACTTGTTTTTAGATTTCGATAATTCAGAGTGGAAAACATACGAAGGAGTGGTATATCGTCAGTCACAGTTGAAAAATTTTCGAGACTTCTTCTTGAGGGCAAACAAATATTCGTGTTTATCTCTTGGTGTATCCAATGTAGGACAAGATAAAAAGATCGTTCTTGTTGAGGTAACGTTTCCCATTGCAGGATGCACGAGGTAGATAGAAATTACCGATGCGAAATATAATATTATTATATAAGTGTTTCCTTTCACTTTTTTAGGATCTACCCAACGTATTTTACCGAAAGGCGACCGAACTACATGAAATTATAGGGTATCTTAAATCTTTTGATTCCTATAAAGTATTTACAGTAGGTGCAAATAATTACATTAACTTCGAAATAAATAACAAGATAAATATACTGTACAGTCTTTGACAATACCGTAGAAAGCCAACAAAAGCTGTTCGTCAAAAACCGTTGTTGTCTACTATGTGAAAAGTTCCACATCTAGTTTGAGCTAACCATTACCTCATTCTTCGATTTGTCGGTGATTGGCAAGACCCAATAGCATTGCTCTCGCTTATTGCGTTGATCAATTTCTTAACAGGTCATACCAGAGACGTAGTAGAAATCCAGTGGTGTTTATTGTGTCAGACAGTAACAGTAATGATACAAATGCTTACCGTTTGTTTCCCAAAGACATCATACACGAACTTGGCATCGTACAAATCAGGTATCCATAGATTTGTCAACGCTCAGATTGATTATTGTAAATGCATGCTAGAAATGGAACTGATAACAGTGGAAATATTTTCAAATTCGTAAAATTTCCATTCGTATTGTTAAACACAGAAGAATGCACTGAACTAAAGAAAACCGTCCAACATGTACAGTCAATGTGGTAGATACTGTACAACGCTTCATCCGCACCGAAGTTAGACTACATTAATTTTTACAAATTTCCCATGCCATCACAGGCCCGCATGGAAGGAAAAATGTACAGTAGTTGGCATTTGCAATGGGACAATTTTTAGTGGAATTTCTCCTTGGACTACGAAATGTTCATTACAAGGGATAACATAGTGATAAAGATGTACTGTATATGTTTGTGTGATGTTACTCTGAGTGTAAATCCACACCGGGCAGGCTTGAAAAATATGCCTGGCCACGGCGGAATTCGAACCTACGACCTTTGGAATACTAGCCCAATGCTCTTCCAACTGAGCTACGCGGTCAGGACGGTTCGAGTATGCGATATTTCGGAACTGAGTCTAGTTCCTTCGATATCAGTGTAATCTAATAATCATGTAATCTGCTGTGTTGGTGTAATGTACTCAGGTGAATAAGATGTTTGTGTGATGTTACTCTGAGTGTAAATCCACACCGGGCAGGCTTGGTGTAATGTACTCAGGTGAATAAGATGTTTGTGTGATGTTACTCTGAGTGTAAATCCACACCGGGCAGGCTAGTATTCCAAAGGTCGTAGGTTCGAATCCCGCCGTGGCCAGGCATATTTTTCAAGCCTGCCCGGTGTGGATTTACACTCAGAGTAACATCACACAAACATCTTATTCACCTGAGTACATTACACCAACACAGCAGATTACATGATTATTAGATTACACTGATATCGAAGGAACTAGACTCAGTTCCGAAATATCGCATACTCGAACCGTCCTGACCGCGTAGCTCAGTTGGAAGAGCATTGGGCTAGTATTCCAAAGGTCGTAGGTTCGAATCCCGCCGTGGCCATGCATATTTTTCAAGCCTGCCCGGTGTGGATTTACACTCAGAGTAACATCACACAAACATCTTATTCACCTGAGTACATTACACCAACACAGCAGATTACATGTACTGTATAGTTTGTTCCCCTATGTTCACGACCCATGTGTAAGAGCTGTTCACGTAAACGACTTTAATTGTTATGACCAACAATGATATACATGGACTGTATGGTGTTCTCTTTTTTCCAGCTTCAACCCAGCTTCAATAACAAGCTTAAACAAACTTGCAAAAGAGATCATTTCGACCGAGTCAAAAAAGGTATCAGCCTACTTGTGTACAATGTTGGTTTTGGCATTAGATTTCACAAATTTTTAACGTGTATAATGCATTACGTACTGCTTAATATGTGATACGAACAACAAGTAGATGCAGCTAGTTTACAATGTTGACAAAAGTCATGCATGTATGCGATTTAATATTTTGCATAATGCGATTTATGTAATTTAATCCTGTTTTATTTTATTGTATTGTAGAAAAGAGCCTCATTTCAAAATCCTTCAAAAGAAGTTATTGATAATCTGGTTTCGGGTTGTAATGGTGATATAAGAGGACTAATTAATAATTTACAGTTTACCTGCCTAAAAGGTATAGTAAACAAGAATACACATCGTATATGTACTGTTAGTTACTGTACTGTACATTGGTTTCACTTGCATTTCTAATGAGAAAATCTTGGAAAAGACTATTAAACATACGTCGCATTCCAACGAATATTTTGTTTCTTGCGATCGACGTTACGTTTTACATCTTCTCAGATGTCGTCGACGTCTCAAAACGCATATGTATAAGAGAACTTTAGACCTACCACTTTCGTGTATGTAGAATTATGTAATATTCTTGTATTTGGTGGTCAATAAGAAGAATTGACAGATTAAAGTGTGATGAGAGGAAGGCATTGGGGATCTCTTGTACTAGCTGCCTGCCTCTAGTATTAACGGTTAAAACT